AGGAATGCAGCAAAATGACCCCTCCAACTCCTATGTTTCTGCTCACAGGAGTGTATGGTCTTACGAGCCTGATCCAAAGCCATTTGAAACCTGTGGAAATCTTTCTGTTAATAGTAAAGGATTTTGGATTAGGCCTTAGGAGGCATTAACTGTATAAGATAATGTAAAACTTTGTGGTCAATAGTTTCATAGTTCTTCCCCCCAAATAAACCAAACCAGTATTTTAAAACATTTTATAATTAAATTCCAAATCCTGCCTAAAACCCTACTTTAGGGAGTTCGGAATAGCACAAAATAGGGCAGTGATAACATTAAACAGATATTCCAGGCTACCTGTTTCTGTCTTCTGGCCTAGAAGCAATGAAAGCAGCTGTCATGACCCAAAGGCATGATTTTGTGTGTGCTTTGGCACCAGAATTATCCCCGCCAAGTTGCAGCTTCATTACACAGGAGAGTTTCCTGTTGCAGAGGAAAACCCCGGTGCAGGGACAAGTTTCCCGCCTTTTCTGCAGCTTCTTTTGCAGGGTGCATTGCTCAAGTTGCAAGAGGAATGCGCAGTGCAAAAGAGTTCCCGCCACCAGTATGCAAATTAGTTCCCCATGATTGGCTAGTGTTAAATTATTCACACATAGCAGCTAACAATTGGCCTGTTAGCCATATAAGAGGCTTGAGCGGTTTCCGCCCAAGCCGAAGAGGACTCCACATCCATCTCGTGGGGACTCTGGGTACACGGCAGGGTAATAGAAACCCTGTGTGAGATCCAGAGGAGCGTGGCGGCCTGATCCACCGCCCACCTCTTCCCGTCTTCGAGCGCGACTTTTATAAGACGTATCTACGATTCCCATTTTGGTGGCTTGTTCACCCAGAGCATCCGGAGCTCTGTACCATGGAGCCTAGCAACCTCCACGAGACCGTCTGTGTTGTCTGTCTGTAACCGCAACTCAAGCAAGTTTTCCAGCCTACACCACTGCCATCTCGGTGTAAGTAAACAATCTTTAAAACTACCGCTACGCGTTTGTGCCTAATTCCAGCTCGATGGCCTTCCCGCTCTGACCCGGCGTGCCTGGGCTGCTGGCCACAGCCTGCGTGCAGCACGGAAAAGGGCTCAGGTCGCTCCCGGCCCGCACAGCAGCCATTACAGGAAAGTCAATCTGATCCTGAGTATGCAAGATACACTGAGAGAAAAGTTATGTCTACAAAATGCAAAAAATTGCAGCTCATAAGTGGACACGAACTACCTTTAAAACTAGCAAGTTTTGGGTACAGTTAGCAGAGTAGCTATAGGACTACAGGCAAAGTTCACCCAAGAAGCTGGGTGCTCTATGCTGCCCACTGCCCTAATGCTAGCTAGTATCCAAGCTAGCTCAGAGGCAACTATGGCAGAGATACACTCTCAATTACTTGCACACAGCTTGCATTCAAATAGAGTAATAATTTTACTTTTATTTGCAGAAAAGTTAAATGGGGACAGTAAACTCACCTTCCACTGACTATTAAAGTGGTTCCTTGCTTGCCTCAAATTCTGTGCGTACATTTTAGAAAAACATGTTCTGAAGCAGTACCTTGTTTGATTAACTACTTAATGCTTTGTTCACCTGCATTCAGGTTACCAGACTTCCCTCTCCTCTTTAAAATGCACAAAATCATCATGGGGCATTTTGTCTTTAAACATTACTTCCAGTTTTGAAGGCAGGCACTATCTAGCCCTTTTTGTGTTGCAAGACATCTAGACAGGTCTAACTAGGAAAAATATTAAATTTATGAAAGATCCAAATATATTCTATGGAGTATGTAATTGATCGTCCAGGGTGATGAGCAAGCCAGCTCCAATCCAGAAGAAAACTGAAAGATCAGCATCTTACAAGAATCAAAATCTGCAAGTGCACAAGTCCTTTTATTTTCTAGCTCAACAAAAGAATAGTATCTGATTTTAAACAAATCTGGTACTAATTTTATATTATACTCCCCCCCATGATGACAGCAATTTAAGTGATTTAACACCCCTACACACACCTAAATGTGGGGGAAAATTAAGCCACAGCACTCCAAACATTTCCTAGCAATTTAAGTCTTCTGGCTTTGCCAGTTTTACATACTCAAAACACAAGTGGACAGTGCCCTTCCTTCTCACCTGGGAACCCCATCTTAACTATCAACTGTGGACATACTTAAGATTATACCCATTGTGTACCTAATGTTTAAACACCTCCCCCCCCCTCCCAGAAGTGCTTACAAAACTAAAAAGGTATTCATTTCCCCCCCCCAAGAATAAAACTCAAAGGACATAACATTTGCTAGATATGTGCAAGAAATTCCTTGTATTAAAAGGGAATTAACTTGTATAATGCATACTAGTGTATAAAATGTGTGCTGTAATTCAGGACAGATTAGTCAATTTGAGAGACTTAAAAAGCAAATGCATGTGCATCATCTCACTGCCCCCTTACTAGCAAGTGTTGGTTTTCATAATTTTTGTTTTTTCCCCTCAGTTGCTCTGCAAGGGGCCCATGCAAAACAGAAGAAATGGACTGGCCAATTATGTAACAATTAAGTTTACCTTATATCTAAGCTCAGATGAGATATTTGATATGCCAAACTCCCACAGTGCCTAAATACCCCAATCTTGATCACAATATTGTTAAATGCATAGTCTGAATATTCTCCCCCCCACTCAAATATATAATTGCTATGGCTAATATAGTGCAAGCAGTCAGTTGATAGAAATTGAATTTATGGAGTTTTGTCCCTTGAAGAGCCATTAGGATTAGAAGCAGCAGTGCTTTCTAGATATTTTCTTGCCAGTTTGTCCAACGTTTCTTCCTTAACATATGACAATTCCACGATTGGTTTTGAATAGAAACAAAAAAGAGAAGTCTAACCACCATTCACAGGTCTTTAAAAGCAGCACGAAGATATTTTTCTTAAATGCTTTTCTTCTTGTGACAGCACTTAAAAATGCAGTATAGCAGTGGTGCTCAACCCTTTCGGCTGGCATGCCAGATCCCATCCAGCCATATAGAGGGCAGAGGGACAGCCCAGTCCCAATGGAAAGGGGGGGAGGGGGCAGCACTACTGTCCCCACAATCCCAAAATTTCCCAATTTGTGACTAGTCCCACAGGCTGCACTTTGCTTGTGGGCTGGGAGGTACAGCTGTCCTGTAGTACAGCAGCATGAATTTTGCTATGGAAAAAAAACAAACAAACAAACCCAAACATCACTAGTTGAGAGATGAAACATTACATAATAGCATAGCTCAAGCAGTTGATTAGTAAAATTTCAGAGAGTCTATATACAAACATACATAAGAAACCAGCAAAATAGATCTGCACTTTTGTCTAAGTATATTAGCAATATTAAGAGTAGTTATTCTAGCTTTTTTCTTTAAGAGGTATACTTCAAATCAAGTCATTACAACATTAAAAATAGGGTACTAATAGATTTTCAAAAGTTCTGAGCATCCAGTAAGATGTACAGGTTCCAGTGAGAACTGGGGAGGGAAACCAAACCAAAAAAAGGCATTTTATTTATTTAGGTGTTAGAATATGGTTTGGGGCATTTAACTAAAAAATAAATAAATAAAACAGCCTATTTTGTAAGAGTAAGTGTACACAGTGCCTTCAGATACAGTGTTGAAGGAGCTATATTAGACCTAATGTGTGTGTGGATCACATAGGGGACACATGATAAATAAGCCCCAAGTCATAAGAGCATTCCTGACATTTGTGTGTAGTTGCTGTAAGGAACAGGTTAGGACAAGACTGCTGTCTGGCACCTTCGCTCTACACTTGGGGCCACTTTCATGCTGAAGCAAGTATGTCTGCCTGTAGCTGGAACAAGTCCAAGGCTTGTTGTGTACATACCTATCAATGCCAAGGCCTCCCCCACACATACCTGGTAGTTTGAAACAGGTTGTCACAGAGATTGGTAAATCAATACAAGAGGTTATGGACTCCAGTAGTACCTACACACAGTAATTAAGAGGTGGAGGGTAAATGATAGAGCCCTACATAATAGCTTCTTTTTAGACATTTTTCCCCCCCACTGGCCTTAGGATACAATACAACAATGTTGAATAATTCTTAACCACATTTTTGCAAGAGAAACAACATGAGATATGGGTGTCTCCTATTATTCCTTTAGGAAACAGTTTTACAGATTCCTTTTGCCCCGTAGATCAAACCAAAATTACTACTTGTAATTTCTAATGGAAAAACCACATTAAACCGTGTTCTGATCAATATTCATGCTAAATTAATTGTTGCTGTTCTAGAAAGTTCTTGGGAATGTGCTACTCCTGCTTTGTAAAATAGATGTGCACAGAAGTCAGCAAGTGGGAGAACTGTGCAAATACCGTCAGTAAAAGCAGCAGCTGACTTTCAGATGGCAATGGGTATTATGTACAGTCATTATAAACATTATGTTCAGGCGGAACTGGAGTATTCCGTTTCACTGAGACTTCTTGCACTAGTTACAGCTATGAATAGCAGCAGAAATCTAATGCTGCATTTCTCCAACTGCTAGAACCTGTCAGCTATGAAGA